AAGAGAAAAAAATCTTGGTAGAAATGTGATAACCAGTGTTAGCTTTAAAGCTCCTAGTCTTCATTAGAGAATTCCTGTCTTCGACGTTTCCAACGCCTCTAACATGCAGTTATTTCAGCTGAAATATTCAGTGTAGTATCCTAGAAAACGGGACACTCGGTAGCATAGTTGGTTGAGGCACTATGCTGTAAGCCGGAAGGTCGCGGGTTCGAGTTCCGATGAGATGGATTTTTTTTCCCAATTTGCATAATGCTTTCAGTCACACTGTGGTCCTGGGCCGACTGAGCCTATAACAGAAACGAGAACCAGGAATCTTCCTGGGGATTAAAGGGCGCCCGGCGCGTAAGGCTGACAACCTTACCGCCATCTGTGAGGCGACTGTATAAAGAAAATGTGAGAGTCTCGACGTCTTACAACCCTACGGGCCTTCACGGCCTCTTACAGGGATAGCGTTTTTAATTAATTCTAGAAAACTGTATGACAGTGGAAAGAATGCAACTTTTGTCATAACGTTTTGTCACGAAAAAACAGTTACAAAGAAGTCGTTGGATCTCCGTGCATTTCGTGTTCCGTTGTACTTGTTCAGCGTATCCCAGGAATTTCAAGCGACATTTGTTTCAGATCAGACTGCTTGTGCGTTTACCTAGCGACAGATTCCAGTGACCTCTGACTGTGGAAATGAATGTTTTCCCACTGCTTTTCTCGCCGCTTCGTTTACAATTAATTGCACCTTCTCACTCCATCCGTTTCCGCCTATAAGTTCCCTCCCCCAGATGAATTTCAAATGATGTACCCTAAGGGTTGAGGGAGAAACAGAGAGCACCTCGGTCTCTAGTTGCAGCCTTTCACGTGGTGTGTGAGTTTAGGTGGAGGATGAAGAGCAGAAATGCACAGGGTGTACTCCAAATATGTTCCCATTGCGTAGACCATAAATTTTCCTCTCTTGTGGGATGAGACCTCGTGTATCCTGGCAGATGTTTACAGACATTTCGGAGGAACACAGTGCTCTCTCATATTCAAGGTATAAGATGGATGCAGTACGTTCCTTCGAAGTATCCATAAACATCTACCAGACTACATGGCGTTACGTTCCACAATACAGAATTTCCCTGCTTACCATTTGCATTTTACGAAACTTAGGAACTGAGGGCCCAGGAATAGGTCAGTGTTTAGGAAACTGTTTTCATTGCGTGTAAATGACGCGCTGTTGCCACTGTAGAGTAACCTGACTTGTCTCCGGCAGACTTTCTTATTTCCCAACCTGAAATGCCCTTTGAAAGGACGACGATTTCAGACGATTCCAAGAGATTACGGAAAATTCACAGACGGGGCTATGCGCGATCCCGAAAAAGGCGTACCAGGACTGTTTCCAGAAGTGGCAACGGAGTTGGGAGTGGTGCATCAGTGCAGGAGGAGAGTACTTTGAAGGCGATAAGGCTCACTCAGTTGCAGGCATGTCCGAAAGAATTATATAAAAAAATTATTCCGGGACTTTTTGAATAGACCACGTACAATCTCGGTATTTGCCTCGAGGGACTGAGGAAAGCAACGCAAAACCTCGGTCAGCATAGCAGGTTCCGCGGTCGCGATTCGAGCCTAGGACACGCCGAACATGGGTCTACAACTTACCGCTACACAAGTCCACTTGGTATGTCATGAGTTAAAGTAAATGCGCACGGTTATGAGTGCTGTATGCTAACGTCAGTTTCCTCAGTATTGTACTGATCGAGAAAGTCCGGGCGTAAGTACGCATTGTCTGTACCAAGGCTGATTTATAAATATCTGATTCCTTGTGCAGGCAAACCCCAGCTGCTACCGATGTTATGATATTGCACGTTGTGCCCTTGATCAAGAGAACTCGACGAATGGACCTGTACGAGGTGTATCGGAAAGTTTCCGGACTAGGCCCCCCCTCTAATCTTTCACCGAGGCAGTTACAACAATAACAGTCGGGGAACTTTCTGATACCACGTAGTACATGTGCAGGACGTTGATTCACACGTAACTGATTTTATTATATGCGGTAAAATCTTATTTAACCAATCGGTATTTCCGCGTTGAACACGAAGACTCGTACTCTCAAGGCTGGTGTCCCACAGGGAAGTGTATTGGGGCCAGTCCTATATCTACTTTATATTAATGATGTGCCAACTACATCGAACTGTACTATAGCGACGTTTGCAGATGATACAGCAGTCATGGCAGTAGGAGAGACTGTTGAAAGCTCAACTCAAGGCTGGTGTCCCACAGGGAAGTGTACTGGGGCCAGTCCTATATCTACTTTATATTAATGATGTGCCAACTACATCGAACAGTGCTATAGGTACATTTGCAAATGATACAGCAGTCATGGCAGTAGGAGAGACTGTTGGAAGCTCAACTCAAGGCTGGTGTCCCACAGGGAAGTGTACTGGGGCCAGTCCTATATCTACTTTATATTAATGATGTGCCAACTACATCGAACAGTGCTATAGGTACATTTGCAAATGATACAGCAGTCATGGCAGTAGGAGAGACTGTTGGAAGCTCAACTCAAGGCTGGTGTCCCACAGGGAAGTGTACTGGGGCCAGTCCTATATCTACTTTATATTAATGATGTGCCAACTACATCGAACAGTGCTATAGGTACATTTGCAAATGATACAGCAGTCATGGCAGTAGGAGAGACTGTTGGAAGCTCAACTCAAGGCTGGTGTCCCACAGGGAAGTGTACTGGGGCCAGTCCTATATCTACTTTATATTAATGATGTGCCAACTACATCGAACAGTGCTATAGGTACATTTGCAAATGATACAGCAGTCATGGCAGTAGGAGAGACTGTTGGAAGCTCAACTCAAGGCCGGTGTACCACAGGGAAGTGTACTGGGGCCAGTCCTATATCTACTTTATATTAATGATGTGCCAACTACATCGAACAGTACAATAGCCACGTTTGCAGATGATACAGCAGTCATGGCAGTAGGAGAGACTGTTGAAAGCTCAACTAGAAATCTACAATTAGCTGTAAACAAAGTCTCCCTCTGGACAAAAAAAATGGCGAATTGAACTCAACGAATCCAAATCAGTACATATTGACTTTACAGAAAAGAGGATTTCACCAGAATCAATCTTCATCAATGGCACTCAAGTTCCATGCTCCAACACAGCGAAATATCTTGGAATAATTCTAGACGCCAAGTTGCGGTGGAAAGAGCATATCAAGAAAAAACGTGATGAGCTCAACAATAAGTTCAGAAAAATGTATTGGCTGCTTGGACGCAATTCTGAGCCATCAGTCCACAATAAACTTACATTATATAAACAAACTCTAGGTCCAGTTTGGAGTTATGGTATCCAGCTCTGGGGCTGCGCCAGTGAATCCAATATTCAAATGATTCAGCGCTATCAGAACAAAGTGCTAAAGCGTACTGTCAAAGCACCATGGTACGTTCGTAACAGTGACCTTCATCGTGACCTTGGGATCGAGACGGTTACAGATATCATCGCTAAGTCCGCCACCTCTCATGAAAAGAGACTCCAAAACCATGTCAACATTGAAGCGTCCACACTTCTCAACGTGAACAATATCATTAGACGACTCAAACGGAAGAAACCGTTGGAACTAGTAAAATGTTAAAGTACTAAGTAATTCAGTGGAAGTGACTTAGTTTTAATTTACATAGTATATTAGGTTTGGAAAAAAATTAATCGTTAGTTATCCAACTAGTTTTAATTGTAATTAAGTTCTGGGTTACCCAGTCTTTAATTAATAAATACAAAAATATATACGGTATTTACTTAACTTGAAAGTCAGTCACAGAGACTATCGCAGTTACGCAAACTCTTAATCTGTTATAGTTTTCCTAACTATTTTCTTTCCATGCGCAGTTTTCCGAAAATGTCGCACGTTTTCATCACATCCAGTCACTTGTGTCCCAGCGCGAGCAGATCCAAAGAAAAACAGTAGAGTTTCGCAATCTTCAGGAGGCCCTTCAACATTATAGAAGTAAATGTCTACATGTTTTTTACAACATTCGCGAATGCAAGAAATTTGTCTGAAATTGGTTTCTTGTGTAATGATGAAATAGTACAAAATATCAAATATAGTACATGATTTTGATTATGGATAAATAATTTCATAATGCTAACCTCTAAAATAGCCGAGCGGTCTGAGGCATGCACTCTCTTCGCTCGCTCGGAAGCCGGGATCGTGGGTTCGAATCCCACTCAGGGCATGGATGTTTGTTTGCGTTTTTCTGTGTTTGTGTACAGGTAGAGGCCTTGCGACGAGCTGATCACCCGCCCAAGGAGTCCTACTGTAGGTCTAAGATCTAATAAAATCGAAGTGAAACGGAGAGTTTCATGGAGGTAAGCTTAGGCCCAAATGAGGGCTGTAGCGCGAGTGAAAAAAAACCCTCTAAAATATGCATGCACAACATTCGAATATCGTTTAAATTTGTTTTAACTTTGTAGACTTAGAGGAAAGGAACAAATAACAGGAAGACTGTATTCGTCCGCTTTTGTATCTACTTCCTGTAATCACTTGATGAATTGAAATGAATTCTTTTTGGAAAGTCTACGCCCAAAATTGTCGGGTAAATTGCATTTGGTTCATGTCAGCTCGTTAAAACTCTTGACATTACATGAAGTTGAAGTAGAAGTTTACGTTCTCAGAAACTTCTCGTTATAGGACTTTCATGTTTTAAAATATCGCAAGTTCTAAGATATATCGCATGAAACGTTTCTCAGTAATCATCATTCTTTCTTGAAGATATATATCTCCAGATGTTTCCCACACGATTTCCTATGTCATAGGTAACTTGGAAAGTTGTGTGGGCATACTATAATTAAGGCAATAACTGAAAAATATGCCATTTAGGCTGATTGATCCTCTCTTAACTTTCTTGAGATTGGGAAGTATTCCTAGATCTTCTGATAAGTGCTACATGCTGTGTGACGTCTGGAAAATGATATTAATGTTTGGTGGATTGCAGTTAATTGTTTGTTGTTCTTGTTTCAGCCGTGACGGTCCGGTACCTGACGAAGCGTTACATCGGGGAGTACAGCTCCAACAGCGGTGAGTTTTCTTTCTTTCAGCAGCGGCTCGTATAGGACTCTCCTCTCCTCTCTTTAAACCCGAAAATGGTACTGTGAAGCGATGAGAGGCAAGTTCCTAATATTCTCTGTATTGTTAGCGCGTTATTGAATTGTTTTGTACAAGTGACAGCCGGACAACGCTTAATGTTGCACTGCATGGACAACTTTGGTCTTTGTGCAGTTGTTGTTTGCATATCATTGAACCATAATTGCTGGTTGTGAGGAGATATGAGAAGGCTCATTTCCAATTTTTAGCGTTGAATTGCAGCAGGTTTTCGTCATTGGCGTTTGCGTCATAGGCTGTTCTAATTGAGTCATTTACGCTTTTATTCCATTGGAATTCGTATCAGTTAACCAGGACAGCCTGCCGGTCACGGTAGCCGAGCGGTCTAAGGCATGTACTGTCTTCGCTCGCTTGGAAACCAGGATCGTGGGTTCGAATCCCACTGAGGGCATGGATGTTTAGTTTGTGTGTGTGCGTTTTCCTGTGTTTGTGCACAGGTAGAGGCCTTGCGACGAGCTGATGACCCGCCAAAGGAGTCCTACCGAATGTGTTAGATCTAGAAAAACCGAAGTGAACAGAGAAGTTCATGGAGATAGGCCTAGGCCCACTGGGGCTGTAGTGCCAAGGAAAAAAAAAAGTCCCTATACTTAACTAATTAAGCACTACGCCATGAAGGCGTATGGGGGAGGGGATGTATAGACCCACCTTTCTTTGACCTCAGTACCTCTTAGAGGTCAGTAGTCTGCTTCACGCTTGGACTGCTTTACCCCGGGGGGAAAAAGCCCAACGTACCGATTGGATAGGAGACTGGCTAGGCCTCAGAACCCGTCTAGGACGAAATGGAGAGAAGGAAAATGTTGCCCTTACCGTGACTCGAACTCCGACCCCTCGGCCTTCCAGCCAGTCGCTGTACCGAATGCGCTATCCCGGCTCATTCGGCTACAATAATGTTAAATTACAAGGAATTTTGGTATTTAGATATCAGTTGATACGAAATTAATCATACATGACACGTCAAGAAGAACGCAACTGTCTTAGTGAAATTTGGGTTTTAATCGTAAAGGAATATCAAAAAATTGAGGTTCCTGTAGCACAGATGCGTTTCCGAGACAATTACTACCAGACGTAAGTAGATTAGACCAAAGAAATCCCGAATCAGAGAACGGTTAAAGTTGTAGTAACTCAGTGAACAGGAAGAGCCCATCTTCCATAACTGGAAGTTCGCTCCCGAGCGAGGGGGCGACGAGATTTTGAATGAACAAAATGACGATGGGAGACCGTGATCAACTTGGGATTTATGGCAGGTTTTAACGACATATACAGCCCTGCAGAGTAGAAGTTGACGATGGTAGCTAGCACACAATCACCCGCTGTCTACATAAAAGGAAATTCATGCCTTCTCTTTGCTTATTGAGGTTTGTTGTGTTAAAGAGTCCATCTGATCTGAGCTAAGGAGACGTGCTGTAACCAAACATGTAGTTAAAACTTAATATTCATTTTCATTCTCTGCGGGTAACGCCGTAGCCGTACGGCACGCGGTAGCGTAGTTGGTTGAAGCAGTATGCTAAAAGCCGGAAGGTCGTGGGATGGAGTACCGACGAGGTGGATATTTTCAGTTGATCTAATCCTTCCAGCCGCATTATGGCATTGGGTCGACTCAACCTCTAACAGAAAAGAGTACCAGGAATCTGCCTGGGGTTAAAGAGTGGCCGGCGCTTAAGGCTGACAACCTCGCCGCCATATGTCAGCCGATTGTCTAGAAAATGTGGGAGCCTCGACATCTCACAACCCTATGGGCCTCCACGGCCTGTTGCAGGATACCTTTACTTTTATGGATAACGCCAGCTGTCTTGTTTCAAGATGCGTAGTTCAGAAGAAGCTTTTAAAATAATCCAGTTCATTCAGCGTATGCAAGACGACACGAATACAGATAAAATATAGATATATATGTACGAGGGGGTACCCAAAAGAAACCGAACTTATTTTTTTTAACTTATTTATTCAAATTTTAAGCACAAACCTTCAATCACCTTCAAAGTACTCTCCACTTACACTAATACACTTGTCTAGTCTTTTATTCCATTTTTCAAAACATTGTCTAAATTCATCTTTTGAGATGCTTGACAGCGCCTCCGTCGTTTTTTTCCTTCACCTCAGCAACATCAGCAAAACGCTGAAAAAAAAGTTTTCATCATTTCGGGACTCTTCTTTCAAAGCACAGCATGCTTCCACGCGACCTTGTTTTTGTTCAGCAGTCAGCAGTCGTGGCACGAATTTCGCAGCCACCCTTTTCATTCCCAAATCTTCTGTCAAAATTCGCTGAACTGAGCTCCAAGTCACTCCCGACAGCTCCACAATTTCTTCAATGGTCCGTCGTCGATCTTCCTTGATGATTTCACGAATTTTTTCCACATTTTCATGTGTTCGGGCCATTGCAAAAACGACGTTCACACAAAACAGTTGTCACTATAAACTCTGCCGAAACTAGTCCTTACCTTCTGAAGCAACGGTAGTCGGCTTATCGACTCAGGAATGTTAGCTCTATGCGCTCATAGCGGCAAAAAGCGGTACTACAAAAGCTCTGCCCACAAAAAAATTAGTTCGGTTTCTTTTGGGTACCCCATCGTATATAATCCTCTGTGTCCAATATCAGATTGGAAATTAACAGTCGGAGTGGTCGAAAACTGTAAGTTAGACCTCATGGCCATATAACCGAAACGTGTAATACAATATGCACTTCTATAGGCATGTCCTTGTCTTTACACTATGTACGGTCACCGAGCCGTGCTCAATTGCAGCTGTTCTTCATTCTACACTTTCGTTGTGTTTATATCGAAAGATGTTCTTGATAGTGTTCATGTAGTTATTGTGGTTGCCGATGCTGTTGTCATTTTCTGCACGGTTATTGCGCCTTGTAAGTGGCCGGAGATTTAAACAGAGGTTCGGGACTGAATATCGTTACCCGAATATCTCAAACATGGAGTTGTAAGCGTTCTATTAGAAGGATGTTCTCGTAGTGTTAATTGTGATATACCTACCAGATTTTAACGAGCCGCCGCTGATCACATTCCAGGAAGGATTTGGGGGACAACCCATCCGAGTGGAACTTTATTAATCGATGTTGTACTAACTCACTTCGGTCGTTTGATGTTATTGATTAAAACCGCGGAGAAGCTTGGCGACAGTTATTCAAATGCTTCGGAAGCAGCTGTAATCGTGGTTACTCGTTTCTCTCGTTCGTGCTTCGTTTGTTTCAGTGGCTTTGGAAATGAATATGTACAGTCGTGTTAGTTTCACGATTCTGTGGATTCAGGCTCGCTTTTGTTTAGCGTTGGAACGCGGAACTGAAGGTTCGCTCCAGCTTGATTAAGGGTGTTCCTTATACTGACTTTACATTACATGTTTCTAGAATGCCAGTGAAAATCGTCGCCTGGCTTCCCAGTGCCCGTCCTTACACCCGAATATTCCCTTGAATGGATTTTGTTTGAATTTAATACTCGAGTCTCTGAACAGATTCAGTCAGATCAGTTTAGTTTTAGTCCAAGCTGAATACCTCGCTAAATGTTTATTAAGTCAGAAGTTTCTGATGCGAAAACTCTGTGCACTTGACTCCAAATTTCTTTTGGAATTCATAATTTTTAAAATGAGTAGCATTAATGTAGTTGAAGTCCACAAGCACAATGGACCACTGTAGGTCGCGGTGCAAGGGCCGAAAAGGCCGACCCCTTATACATTCATTCATTAGTTGAAGTCCGCACTGAGTATATTCATTAAGCCAGATACTTCTGATGGCAAGAACTGTCTGTATCTGCTTGGAGTAAACATTGATTTTTTCCCCCCCTTGGCACTACAGCCCCAGTGGGCCTAGGCCTACCTCCATGAACTTCTCCATTCACTTCGGTTTTTCTAGATCTTACACATTCGGTAGGACTCCTTGGGCGGGTGATCAGCTCGTCGCAAGGCCTCTACCTGTAGACAAACAGAATAAACGCGCACAAACATCCATGCCCTGAGTGGGATTCGACCCCACGATCCCGGCTTCCGAGCGAGCGAAGACAGTGCATGCCTTAGACCGCTCGGCTACCGTAACCGGCCGTAAACATTGATTAATAAAACTAATATTATAAGATGTTAGTTTTTGCCACCTTCAGCTTGGGGGTTGTGGCCGTGTAGAAACGACGACCATAGATCTATGTATCAACTGAAGGAACTTCCTTTTACTGTTGTTCTGGCACAGACCCATTTTTTCTCAAATAGATGTAAGTAAAAGCTCAAGATATGTTGAATGTTTTATCAGAATTTCCATGGAAGTTATCCTTATAGCTCTATTTCCGTGCATTTTATGTAGAGGGAATTTGATATTCCAATACGGCAGAGGCGGGGCTCAAAAAAGTTGTGCATTTATTGGAGGTTAAATCAGTCTTGAAAACAGTCTACGTTTGCGAATAAATTCCGCAAAGGCAGAGGAACGGTACCAACATGGCGTTGCCTTGTCATGTCACATGTAGGCCTGCACTAGTACTGCTGCAGTGTCACATTTGTGGCGCCAATATGTCATTTTATTTTTAAGTTATGAACATTCCATTACGGTTACGTACGCAGTGTCGCATCGTGTGGTCAGCAGCACTCTGCTTCATGTTGGGATGTCCCGTGTTCAGATCTTGGCCTGGAGACCGGCTCTCCTGATTAAGGCTTTCCGTGGTTTTCCTCAGTCCGTCCAGGCAAATGCCAGGATTTTACCGCAGGTTATGTCGCCACCGCTTCCTTCCTCATCCTTTACAGTTCATTAATTATATCATTCGACGGTATATAGGCTGAAAGACTGACAACGTCGTTGCATAAATAAATTAATAAATAACAAAAGAAAATCTATATTTGCCTGTAGTTTTCTCGATTATTGCTGCAAATAAAATCTCTCGCGCCTCTCTCTGCACTGTTGGGAGCAGCCTTAACATCTTATCCATTAATTGCAGATG